ATTTTTTTTTTTTTTCCAGTAACCCAAGATCAAAAGCAGGTACCTAGATAGAGATACTGTCCAGAGTATCCGGGCCATAGCCAGACAAATGGCTTTGAACTATAAACCATGGTTTACCTCAAGGGATAATATGCTCTTGAGACAGTCTTCAAACTCTGTTCATCAGTGAATCTCCCTATACTGAGAAGTGCACAGTCCTGGGGGGGCCTGTATTCCCCTCTATCATTTCATCCTAACCAGCCAAAATGCATTTATATCTGCAATGATTATGTCCACTCCAAACATGGAACAAAGCACACTACAACATGAGAAACCCAGGTTTGCCCAGAAAAATACTTTGCAGCCTCTATCTAAGAAAAAATCATGAATAGGCAACATAACCATGACCAAAATTGAGCAATTAAATGCCAACAAAATTATGTCGAAAGCCGTGGTCCACAGTGCATAGGAAAACCTTACTACAGCAAGTAGAGAGTGTTTATGTTGCTCCCCAGCTCAGCCTAAGGTGTGTGCAGGTTAATAAGAGCATTCTAGCACAAATGAAATTGGTGGAAGCAAGGGGTTCCTGGAATCCTTCCAGGAAAACCCACAGGAAATGAGCAATGATCACCGCCCTATGAGTCTGAGTGAAGGCAGGCTAGCCAAGCTGAATGAACGCTGGCTTATAGATGACATTTTTACATGCCCAAATTAATTGTTTCATTCCTAGGTTTTTTTTTAGCAAAACACCTAGCTAGTGAGCTAAGTGAATTTGAAGACAAATAGGTTTGCAGTAACATTTGGACTTGAAGAAGGTTCCACATTGTAGTGTGACATTTCAGTTCTTTCATGTGCATATTTAGAGTGGTAGTACTGGTGAACTGAAAGTGAATTTGTTAAAGGAGGGTATTAGTATGTTGGTGTGGTTAAGTATTTTGATTATGCTGGGTGTGCATATTGCCCTAACTTAACAATTTCCTTGCTTTTGAGAGCTCACATTTTGAGAGAATGCAGTTGAGGATCCTTAACTGTAAGTTAGCAAAGTTCTGTATATGGAAGTATTGTAGTGATATAAAATTGCCTATATGCCCAGTAATTTAAACTTCAACTAAGGCTTTTAAATGTGAGTTATTTTCTATTATCTATTTTTGCAGATGTAGGGCCTGATATCGCAGCCTCTTCATACACACAACTCCTGTTGACTTCTGGTAGAATAGTTAGCATAGAGGCTACAGAATCAATCCTTTATTTATCTTGAAAAATGAATAAGCATTAGTGTGACTTGCCTGTTTTGTTCTGCAGATGGCTAGATGAACGACACACACAATCGCATTCTATCCCAGCTTTATTCAGACCATCACCTCTTGAAAGAATTAAAACTAATGTTATAAACCCTGCATATGCTATTGAACCTGGTCACACAGAGAGCTCACTGCACATGGGCTATACTGCATTAGAAATAAAGAGTAAAATGTTGGCACTGGAGAAAGCAGATATGTGCATCTATAATCCTTTGTTTGGGTCTGATCTTCAATATACCAACAGGGTAAGTATTTTGTAGAATCAACTCTATTTTACTTTTTAAAAGGTTTTGATAATCTTGTGTTTAGCTGTACCGTAATCCGTTATACCCCATTTCTGCTTTTGGCTAGTTAGATTTGCAACTATAAAAATGTGAAAATCTGTCCCTTTAACTGCAACAAATTACTGTCTGAGTGTTAATTAAAAGAAAATGTGCATGTCTGCTTGTCCATGCTTCAATGACAAATTTTTCAACTTTTTAAATATTATATTGTTTTTGTAGGTTGATAAAGTGGTTATAAACCCATACTTTGGTCTTGGAGCCCCAGACTATTCAAAGATTCAGATTCCAAAAAGAGAAAAGTGGCAACGCAGCATGAGCAGTGTGATGGAAGACAAGTATTACATTAGATTTTTTCATTTATAATCTCAAGTAAAAAAAAAAAAAAAATCATATTACAGGATTATTTTAGGATCCAGTCTGTTTTCAGAGTCCCACTGTCCTATTATAGTATCAATATATATTTAAAAAAATGTACAAAAAAAAAAAAGACCTTATAGTCTAGTTCACAACAGAACGAGAGCCTACAGAATAAAAAAATGTAGGATTGACTTGGGGAAAATTCAGACAACAAGGCAACTCTAAAATAAGTATTTCTTGGTAGAAAGAATGTTGTCATGGATGGACATATGGCTAATTAAAATGCTAGTTGTACACATTGATTCACTTTACCTGCCTGGGTTTTATATGTATCAAAATTAAGTTGGACATCAGGAGGCGCTACTTCACGGTCAGGG